CACTCACTCACTCACACTCATACACACCCCCCCCACTCACCCCCCCCCCCCCCACCCCACTCACTCTCACACTCACACTCACTCTCACTCACTCACTCACTCACTCACACTCACTCTCACTCACTCACACTCATACTCTCTCACTCACACTCTCACTCACTCACTCACACTCACTCTCTCACTCACACTCTCACTCACTCACTCACTCACACTCATACACACTCACTCTCACACTCACACTCACTCTCACTCACTCACTCACTCACTCACACTCACTCTCACACTCACTCACACTCACACTCTCTCACTCACATTCACACTCACACTCACATTCACACTCACTCTCACTCACTCACACTCATACTCTCTCACTCACATTCACACTCACACTCACTCTCACACTCACTCTCACATTCACACTCACTCACTCTCACTCACTCACACTCACACTCATACTCTCTCACTCACTCTCACATTCACTCTCACTCACTCACTCACACACACACTCACTCACTCACTCTCACATTCATCACATTCACACTCACACTCACTCACTCACACTCACACTCTCTCACTCACATTCACACTCACACTCACACTCACATTCACACTCACTCTCACTCACTCACACTCATACTCTCTCACTCACACTCTCACTCACATTCACACTCACATTCACACTCACACTCATACTCTCTCACTCACACTCACTCTCACACTCACTCTCACATTCACACTCACTCTCACTCACTCACTCACTCACTCACACTCACTCTCACTCACTCACACTCATACTCTCTCATACACACACTCTCTCTCACACTCACTCTCTCACTCACACTCACTCTCACACTCACTCTCACATTCACACTCACTCTCACTCACTCACTCACTCACTCACACTCACTCTCACTCACTCACACTCATACTCTCTCATACACACACTCTCTCTCACACTCACTCTCTCACTCACACTCACTCTCACACTCACTCTCACATTCACACTCACTCTCACTCACTCACACTCATACTCTCTCACTCACTCACTCACACTCATACACACTCACTCTCACACTCTCACTCTCACTCACTCACACTCATACTCTCTCATACACACACTCTCTCTCACACTCACTCTCTCACTCACACTCACTCTCACACTCACTCTCACACTCACTCTCTCACTCACACTCACTCTCACTCACTCACTCACTCACACTCACTCTCACTCACTCACTCACTCACACTCACTCTCACTCACTCACTCACTCACACTCACTCTCACTCACTCACTCACTCACACTCACTCTCACTCACTCACTCACTCACACTCACTCTCACTCACTCACTCACTCACACTCACTCTCACTCACTCACTCACTCACACTCACTCTCACTCACTCACTCACTCACACTCACTCTCACTCACTCACTCACTCACACTCACTCTCACTCACTCACTCACTCACACTCACTCTCACTCACTCACACTCATACTCTCTCACTCACTCACTCACACTCATACTCTCTCACTCACACTCACTCACACTCACTCACTCACTCACATTCACACTCACACTCACTCACACTCACACTCATACTCTCTCTCTCACATATGTAGCATGTTAAAAATCTATCATCATCATTGTATCATTTTATATGAACATTTTTAATAGATTGTCATTATTTTTATATTTACATTTTTTTAAATTAATTCTATATTTAAATAAATTAGTATAATATATAAAAATGTTTATATATATATTAATTTTAAATTTATTATAATAATAAATAAATTAATATATTTAAACACATAATAATTATATGTATATAGTGTAGTATGTGGCTGTGCAGCGTGTGTCACAGGTGTGTCTCTGTGTGTGTGTGTGTGTGTCTCTGTGTCTGTCTGTCACTGTGTGAGTCTGTGTCTGTGTGTCTGTCTGTCTGTGTGTGTCTGTGTCTGTCTGTGTGAGTGTGTGTGTGTCTCTGTGTGTGTGTGTGTGTGTCTCTGTGTCTGTGTGTGTGTCTGTCTGTCTGTGTGAGTCTGTGTGTAGTATAATATATAAAAATGTTTATATATATATTAATTTTAAATTTATTATAATAATAAATAAATTAATATATTTAAACACATAATAATTATATGTATATAGTGTAGTATGTGGCTGTGCAGCGTGTGTCACAGGTGTGTCTCTGTGTGTGTGTGTGTGTGTGTGTCTCTGTGTGTGTGTGTGTGTGTGTGTCTCTGTGTGTGTCTGTCACTGTGTGAGTCTGTGTCTGTGTCTCTGTGTGTGTCTGTCTCTGTCTGTGTGAGTGTGTGTGTGTCTCTGTGTGAGTGTGTGTGTGTCTCTGTCTGTGTGTGTGTGTGTCTCTGTCTGTGCACTCATACACACTCACTCTCACACTCTCACTCTCACTCACTCACTCACACTCATACTCTCTCACTCACACTCACTCTCACTCACTCACACTCACACTCACTCACACTCACACTCATACTCTCTCACTCACACTCTCACTCACTCACTCACACTCACACTCTCACTCACTCACTCACTCACTCACTCACTCACTCACACTCATACACACTCACTCACTCACTCACTCACACTCATACTCTCTCACTCACTCACTCACACTCATACTCACTCACTCTCACACTCATACTCACTCACTCTCACTCACTCACTCACACTCATTCTCACTCACTCTCTCACACTCATACACACTCACTCTCACACTCTCACTCTCACTCACTCACTCACACTCATACTCTCTCACTCACGAACATGTCTCTGTCTGTGTGAGTGTGTGTGTGTCTCTGTGTGAGTGTGTGTGTGTCTCTGTCTGTGTGTGTGTGTGTCTCTGTCTGTGTGTGTGTGTGTCTCTGTCTGTGTGTGTGTGTGTCTCTTTGTCTGTCTGTGTGTGTGTGTGTGTGTGTGTCTGTGTCTCTTTGTCTGTCTGTGTGTGTGTGTCTGTCTCTGTGTCTGTGTGTGTGTCTGTCTGTCTGTGTGAGTCTGTGTGTGTGTGTGTGTGTGTGTGTGTCTGTGTGTGTGTGTGTGTGTGTGTGTGTGTGTGTGTGTGTGTGTGTGTGTGTGTGTGTATACACACACTCACTCACACTCACACTCACTCTCACTCTCACTCTCACACACACACTCACGCTTACACACTCATACACACACTCACACAAAGAAACACTCACACAACACAAACAAACACACACACTCGCACACACTCACAACACACACTCACACGCACACACTCACAACACACACACTCAAACACATACACACACACAAACAAAAAAAACTCAAATAAAAATGAATTATTAAAAAGTATTTTAGTGTGTGACAGATGTGTGTGAGTGTGTGACAGATGTGTGTGTGTGTGTGTGGTGTGAGTGTGTGACAGGTGTGTGGTGTGAGTGTGTGACAGGTGTGTGTGTGTGTGTGACAGGTGTGTGTGTGTGACAGGTGTGTGTGTGTGGTGTGAGTGTGTGACGGGTGTGTGTGTGTGTGTGGTGTGACAAGATATGTGTGGGTGTGTGTGTGTTGTGAGTGTGACAGATATGTGTGTGTGTGTGTGTGTGTTGTGAGTGTGTGACAGATATGTGTGAGTGTGTGTGTGTTGTGAGTGTGACAGATATGTGTGTGTGTGTGAGGGTGGGACAGATATGTGTGAGTGTGTGACAGATATGTGTGAGTGTGTGACAGATGTGTGTGACAGATGTGTGTTGTGAGTGTGACAGATGTGTGTGTGTGTTGTGAGTGTGTGACAGATGTGTGTGTGTGGTGTGAGTGTGTGACAAGTGTGTGTGTGTGTGGTGTGAGTGTGTAACAGGTGTGTGTGTGTGGTGTGACAAGATATGTGTGGGTGTGTGTGTGTTGTGAGTGTGAGAGATATGTGTGTGTGTGTGTGTGTTGTGAGTGTGTGACAGATATGTGTGTGTGTGACAGATATGTGTGTGTGTGACAGATATGTGTGAGTGTGTGACAGATATGTGTGAGTGTGTGACAGATATGTGTGAGTGTGTGACAGATATGTGTGAGTGTGTGACAGATATGTGTGAGTGTGTGACATATGTGTGAGTGTGTGACAGATGTGTGTGGCATGTGTGTGACAGATGTGTGTGACAGATGTGTGTTGTGAGTGTGTGTGACAGATGTGTGTGTGTGGGTGTGTTGTGAGTGTGTGACAGATGTGTGTGTGACAGATGTGTGTTGTGAGTGTGTGTGACAGATGTGTGTGTGTGGGTGTGTTGTGAGTGTGTGACAGATGTGTGTGTGACAGATGTGTGTTGTGAGTGTGTGTGACAGATGTGTGTGTGTGGGTGTGTTGTGAGTGTGTGACAGATGTGTGTGTGACAGATGTGTGTTGTGAGTGTGTGTGACAGATGTGTGTGTGTGGGTGTGTTGTGAGTGTGTGACAGATGTGTGTTGTGAGTGTGTGACAGATGTGTGTGTGACAGATGTGTGTTGTGAGTGTGTGTTGTGAGTGTGTGTGACAGATGTGTGTTGTGAGTGTGTGTGACAGATGTGTGTGTGTGAGTGTGTTGTGAGTGTGTGACAGATGTGTGTGTGTGGTGAGTGTGTGACAGATGTGTGTGTGTGGTGTGTGTGTGACAGATGTGTGTTGTGAGTGTGTGTGACAGATGTGTGTGTGTGACAGATGTGTGTGTTGTGAGTGTGTGACAGATGTGTGTGTGTGTTGTGAGTGTGTGACAGGTGTGTGTGAGAGATGTGTGTGACCGATGTGAGTGTGTGTGACAGCTGTGTATGTGTGTGTTGTGAGTGTGTGTTTGTGTCTGTTGTGAGTGTGTGACAGGTGTGTGTGTGTGTGAGATGTGTGTGACTGGTGTGTGTGAGATGTGTGTGACCGGTGTGTGTGTGTGTTGTGAGTGTGTGTGACAGATGTGTATGTGTGTGCAGCTGGTGCTGGCGGTGGGTGTTCTGCTGATGGTGGTGCTGGTGTTCACGTATCCTCACAGTGTGCCGCTGCTGGACTCCTCGAGCGCGGCGGGACACAACAGCTCTTCTCCTCTCAGTCACGCGCGGCTGCTAGCGCTGCCCATCACCCAGAAATACAAGCTGCACGGTGAGACACCATCAGACGCTCCATGCTCTGCACTCACTTTCAGCGCATGTCCATCTCAACACGTGTGTGTGTGTGTGTGCAGGTTTTCACGAGTGGTGGGTGTCTGGCGCGCTGCAGATGCCGCAGGGGAACTGCTCGGCCTGCGCAGACGTGACAGCGGTGATAGAGCTGAGAGCGTCTGCGGGGATCGAAAAACACACACAGCCACTGCTGCTCAAGGTACAGACACGCACACATACTCACACACAGTGTGTCATGATGGAGGTTAACGTGTGTGTGTGTGTGTTTCAGGGCGGAGAGTCTCTGTCTCGCCGTATCTCTCATCTGGAGCAGTTATCACAGCCAGACACACTCACAGCAACACCTGCCAACTTCACCCTGCTCTGGTAACCAGCAGCATTCAGGTTATTATATGATCATTAGCATCTGTATGTTGTGTGTGTTTGATGCTCGTGTGTGTGTCAGGAGTTTCTCGTCCAGTCCCAGAGAGACGGTTCTCCGCTGGTTATTTCCTGATGCTGAGCTCTGCCCTCTGCTAGAGAACACAGGAACAACACTGCAGCGCTGCCAGCTGACCGACAGCACCAGCACACAACACACGGTCAGAACACACACAGAATCGCCCTCTCTCTCACACACACTCACTCTCACACACACACACACACACAAACACACAC